GGGCAAGGAGCTTGGGGAGGGGAGTGGGGGTTGATCCCTGCCCTCTGCTTTCCCCGGCCCAGCTGAAATGCTACCACAAGAAGTTTCGCAGCCCGACGCGGGACGTCATCTTCCGCGTGCAGTTCCACACCTGCGCCATCCACGACCTGGCCGTCGTCTTCGGCAAGGACGACCTGGACGAGGCCTTTCGAGGTAGCACGGGGCATGGGCTTGTCTCCGTTTCCGTGTCCCTGGCTTTACCGTGGCGGCTGGGGTCTCTTCGTGGGAGGGAAGGTCCGGCGCCTCCACCGCGGCTGTGCCGTGTCCCCGGTAGACCTGGCCGAGCTCTCGGCCGCCGCCACGTCTGGGGGCCACGAGTCTCGTGCCGATGCCATGTTCTTGTTGCAGACAACCGGTTCCCAGAGTACGGGAAGGTGGAGTTCGTTTTCTCCTACGGCCCGGAGAAGATCCAAGGTGGGCGCCGTTCCCGGGGCGTGTGGGGCATGGGTCCTGCCAGGCGCAGTGGGGCCGGTGACCTGGCTGGGACGCCTGCGCAGGGTGACCCCGGGGTAGGGGTCCAGCCGGCGTGTCCGCTGACTTCCCCTTCTCGCTGCCGCAGGCATGGAGCACCTGGAGAACGGCCCCAGCGTCTCGGTGGACTACAACACCTCGGACCCCCTCATCCGCTGGGACTCCTACGACAACTTCAACGTCCGGCGTGAGGACAGCACGGAGGGTGGGTGCTGCGCCGGGGGTCGCGCGTGCCGCACGGGGAGGGGGTCTCGGGGTGCTCTCTGCAGCTGGGGGGCTGGCATGCAGACATCCCGGGGGCTTCGTGGCAGAGATGCATCCCTTCGGTGTGCCCTACGTCCCCCGTGGGGCAGGAGCAGCCTGTCTGGGTGCCCAGCCCCAGCCCTGTCCAGCAGCCGGGGCGCGTGGGCGCGGGCAGCTGGCCCAGAGCCGTCCCACGTGCCGGCAGCCGGGATCAACACGGCCCCGTGACCGGCGGGCGCGGGCGTGTGACCGGCGTATCGGGTGCCCACCGGGGGGGATGGTGTGGGCAGGAGCTGAGGACGTATCGGGTGAGGGGCAATTTTGGAAGCGCCTTGGGGGGTGGGGGGGCTGCAGGTCAGGCTGCCCCCGCGGCTGAATTGTGCTGCCCGAATCGTGGCTTCAATCTCAAGTCTCCGATTGAAGGTATTTTGGGACCAGGCTTTGCTGACAGATGCTTTATGGTGAAATCGCAGAACTGGAGGGAAGCCGAGGTGGAAGGGACCTACGAGGCCACATCTAGCTCAGGCACCTAAACCACCTTGGTCAAGCGTTGGCCCCACCTGTTCTTGATAATCTCCAGGGATGGAGAGTCCACAACCTCTCTGGGCAGTCTGGTCCGAGGCTTGACCCACTCTCAGAGTTAGGAAGCCTCTCCTCCTCTCCTGCCTCAGTTTCCCCTGCTTCAGCTTGAGGCCATTGCTCCTATGGCGGCAGAGAAACGCCCCCCGTCCCGGTCCTTTCCGGTTTTCCAGGCTGCGTCTCTGCAAGAGCCTGATGTGAAATAACCCTCCCGGGAAGCTGCAGACAGCTCCGTGCGCGCGGCCCGGCTGCCCCGGTGCTGTCTGGCTGGAGCAGGGCTGGGACCGCAGCCTGGTGGGCTTGTCGGTGCCGGCAGGACTCGGTCGGGGGAGCCGGGAGCCCCCCCAGGCGCTGCTGTGGGGCCGCACGTCATCCCCTCGCGGGCTGGAGCTGGGGGAGTCGCGGTGCGGAGCGGAGCCGGGCGGGTTCGGTGCTGGACGGGCTGCGATGCTGCGGCAGAGCCGGGAATCTGCAGGGAAGGAAAAGGCTGTTTGCGCGGGGAGGGGGTCACGAGCGAGATGTGACTGGCTCGGGGGCATCCGGGCTGCAGGTGAGGGGGGGGGACAAATCCTTCCATCCCCGTACACCTCCTCCCACCCTCCCTCCCTCCCTCTCCCTTTGTCTGTCTGTCCCTCCAGCCCCTCCATCCATCCACCCATGTTTATGTGTGTGGTCTGTTTATTTCCATCCGTCCATCCCCGTGTACCTCCTTCGTCTGTCTGTCTAGTCATCCCTCCAGCCCCCTCGTGTCCGTCTGCCCGTCCATCCAGGGTCATATGTCCTATCTCTGTCTGCCTGTCTTTTCCATCCATCCATCCCCATATACCTCTTCTAGCTCGATATCCACCCACCCCAGACCGGGGAACGCTGCAGCACGGGGGGGTCCAGGGAGAGGCTGGGTGGAAGGGCCGCGGTGCAGCGATGCCCGTGCTCTGCTGGGGGGTGTCCCAGGCTGGGACTGTGCTGGACCCCCCTGTGTGTTGGGGGTTGAGCCCCCCCAGAGGCGCTGGGGCTGTGCCAATGCTCCTGCTGGATCTCATGCCAGAGGGTCCTGGCTGCAGCGCCTTGCCCCCCCGCTCGGGGTCAGACTGGCTGGCATATTTGGGGCTAGATTGGTACAGACTTTGGGGGTGGGGGGGGTTGCCTGCCTCTGTAGCAGGGCATGGCCGTACCTGGGACCTCTCAAGTGTGTACGAACCTTTCACAGCAGCCGGATGCAGGGCTGGGGCGACGTCTGGGCTGTGCCAGGGCTGACGGTTGTTTTGGTGAGAGTTGACACGCAGGGTTTGTCTGGGCGGGTTTGGACAGGGCCGATCCTGCCTCAGGCAGGGCTTGGACTGGATGTGACCCTTCCAGCCCCGCAGCTTGAGGATTTTGGCCGTCTGTCCTCATATGCCTCCGCCCACCCACAGGCACCTCATCCACTTCCCCATCACCCCCCCACACCCTGTGCCCCCTGTACTCTCACCCTGGCTTCCCCCGGTCCCCTCTGAGAGCTCACGGTGCTTGAGCTTCCCTGAAAATAAACCCAGGATGCATTACGGTGGCGGGTGGAAATAGCCCTGGCATCGGGCGGGTATTTCTGGGCTCTTTGTAAGACCCTGTATTTATCCCGGGGCTGCTTTGGAAATAGCTTTACGTGGGAAGGGGCCTCCAGCACGCGGCACCTCTTGGGGGGTGGCTCCCCTCCTCTCCAGAGCCTGAGGCACTGGCTGGGACTGGGAGAGCTGCGAGTGGGTCCTGGCTCTGCCACTGTCTTCCCTGCATGACCCTGGGCCTATCCCTTAACCCCCCACATGTCCTTCCCTGGGCTAATAACCCTTCTCCCCCCTGCCCAGCTTGGAAGCTCTTTGGGACAGAGCTCGCTCCTGCCCGTGCAGCGCCTGGCGTCACACGGAGCCCCGTTCCTCTGTGTGAGTGCATGCATACGTGTGCGCATGTGTGTGCACGCATGTGGATGCGTGCAGGTAGGCAAATGTGTGTGTTTGAGCGCGTGTGGTGGGGTGTGCATTTTGACGGCCATAGCGCCCCTGCTTTCCCAGGGGCAGGGGCGATGCCCGGGGCTGTGTTAGGGGCGGCGGTGTCGTGCAGCTCCGAGGTCGCACACGGGGTTTGTCTGGTTGGGTTTGGGTGGGGTGGATCCGGCCTCGGGCTGGGACTCATCGACCCATCTTGTTCCACCCCAGAATCAGCCGCCCGCAGGGATGCGCTGCATGCTGAGCTCCATGCGCCGGAGCTGTGGGGGGGGTCTGCCTGCCCCAAGGCCATGCCGGGGCTGTCTTGTGTGGCGCGACGGCCTCAATGGCAGCAGCAGCTACAGCCGGGGCCTGGGGGGCCGCGCCAGAGCTGTTGGGGGCTCGTGCCCAGCGTGCGGGGGAGGATTGCAGGCATCTCTCCCCGTGTCTGGAAACATTGGCAGGGGCTGCTAAAGCCATCGCCGGCCCCATCTGCAACTCCCATCAGCCTGGCGCTCGGGGCGTCAGCACCGCCAGCTCCTGCCTGCTCCCCCCGTTGTGGTGGGGGGGTTGCCTAAAGCCAAAGGAATCCAGGCTGGTGGGGATGGGGGCTCCCGGGAAGGGGCTTGGGGTTTGCCAGCCCCCCACCAGCTACAGTGGTCTAGGAGGAGGGCGCTGGAGGGGTGGATTTGGGCAAGACGCTGCCCTTTCCGAGCTGTCTGTGCCAGCTGCTGCACGGTTACGTGCCACTGTGTTTGCGGGGGGGGGGCTGGGCTTCGAGCCCGAGAGCACCCCGGGTCTCCCCTCGCGTGGGGCCCCGTCTCTGCGGCTGGCAGCGAAGGTGGGAAAGACCCGGCCCCTTCCCAGCCCTCTTGCTTTTCGTTCTCAGAGTTTCCTTGAAACCGCAGCCCGGGGAAGGGGGGCGGGGGGAACATCTGGCCAGCTGCAGCCTGCGATCTTCCAGCCTGGGGAGCCTGAACCGGGGCGGTTTCCCGGGGCCGGTCTGAAACGAGCCCCTGGTTTGATCCGTGCCTTTCCCCGGGAGGCTTCAGGCTTGGGGTAGATCAGATGGGGGAGGGTTTGATGACCCCCATCCCCGCTGTCAAGCGTGTGGGGACACAGCTGGCGCCTGTCCGGGTTTGGGCTGGGAGCTGCTCTCGACAGGAGCAGAGACCGTGGGTGGTGAAGGTGACCCGCCGGGGCAGGGGGCAGAGATGGGCCCAGATCATCCCGCCGGGCATCGCCGTAACGCCCCGTCACAGGGCGCGAGTGCGAGAGCCAGCGGGCACAGACGCCCGGTCTGCCTGCACCCGTGTCTCCGAAATCCTCCCCCAAAGCGGCCGCGGGCTTCGTCCGAACCTGCGGGAAAGGAGCTGGGAGGGAGAGGATGGAAAGGAGCAGGAGGATGGAAAAATAGCCTGAGTGTGCGCCTGGCCCAGCCCCGTCTCCTCCCCCCGTCCCTCCCGGGCCGGAGCGGCTGCGGCCGGCTCCCAGCCCCCGTGATGTCATGCCGTGCGCATAGCTGCACCATGATAAGTGACCCCCGCCGGGATCCAGCTGGCTGAGATTACAGACAGCCGCCGGACCCGCTCGCTTCCTCCGTCCGGCGTCCGGCTCGCGGCGGCAGAGCGGGGCGCCCCAGCCCCGCGGCTCCTCGACAGCTCGAGGCCGGGACCGGCCCTTCTCCGCTGGGTGGTAAGTGCGGGGCTTGGGGGGCCTCCGGCTGGTCCAGGGATGCTCCCCCGTCCATGCCTGCCTGTCCTGGGCGGTTTGGGGGGGGTCCGGGGCTTGCATTGGGAGGTGACTACTGGGGACGGTGCCTATTCTGGATGGGCGTCGGGCTTCCCTTTCGCCACCTGCTACCTGCCGGTTTTTGCAAGGGGTGAGCTGGGCATGGAGGGGACAAAGTGGGGTCCTGCGGGGTCCTCTACATTTTGCTTGGGCATAGGGCGGGGGCTCAGCAGTGCCAGCTCCATCCCTAGCTGTGCACAGAGGGGTGGGGGGAGCCGGGCACCACCAATGCACATCAGGGGTCGGGGTCGGTGCCCGTGGCTATGCCCATGACTCAGTGCGGACCAGAGGCCTGCGCCTGCCCTGCCCCGGGGAGGAATCTTGGGCTGGCGGGGCGAGGCCTGGCAGCTGCCCGCACGGCCTGGCAGGGCCCCAGATGGCCTCGGAGGGGATGCGGAGAGACAGCGAGAGGCATTGTCCAGGGAAGGACGGGCAGTGGGCGCGTGCGAGCAGGGGCGTAAGAACCGGGGCGGTGCAACCCGGGCCCAGCCCGGGGGGCAGAGCCCTGCTGGGGTGCAGTCGGGGCTGAAGGAGGAGCGGCTCCGAGTCGGGCTGTGGGGTTCATGCCGCATCGGGGGAACCGTGTCGGTCTGCGACCGTCTGGGGGTTCGTGTCATGCTTGCGTCCTGGGAGCTGTGTGTGTATGCATTTGCATTTGCGTGTGCAAAATCCCAGGGCATGAGTGTTGCTGCATGTGGCTGTGTGTGTGTGTTTGTGATATAGCAGGGCATGAGTGTCACTGCATGTCCCGGTGTGTATAGGTGTGAGTGTGTGTCTATGATATAGCAGGGCATGAGTGTCAAAATCCCAGTGTATGTGTCACTGCATGTGACTGTATGTATAGGGTGTATGTGTGATATAGCAAGGCATGAGTGTCTGTGCGTGTGCCTGTGTATATGCACATGGGTGTGTTTGTGTATGATATAGCAGGGCATCGGTGTCACTGTGTGTGGGTGCCTGCTGCGTGTGCATGAGTGTCATTGTCTGGTTGTGTATAGGGGTGTGTGTGTGATATAGCAGGGCATGAGTGTCACTGTGTGTGGGTGCCTGCTGCGTGTGCAAAAATCCCAGTGCATGAGTGTCATTGTGTGGTTGTGTATGAGGGTGTGTGTATGTGTATGATATAGTAGGGTATGAGTGTCACTGCGTGTGGGTGCCTGCCGTGTGTGCAAAAATCTAAGTGCATTAGTGTCACTGCATGTGGCTGTGTGTACGGGGGGGTGTGATATAGCAGGGCATGAGTGTCACTGCATGTCCCGGTGTGTATAGGTGTGTGTGTGTGTCTATGATATAGCAGGGCATGAGTGTCAAAATCCCAGTGTATGTGTCACTGCATGTGACTGTATGTGTAAGGTGTGTGTGATGCACAGGCACTCATGCCCTGCTATGTCTGCCTGTGTATATGCACATGGGTGTGTTTGTGTATGATATAGCAGGGCATGAGTGTCACTGCATGTGGGTGCTTGCTGCTGTGTGTGTGTGCACGCATATGTGTATCTCCATGTAAGTATGTGTGCATTAAATCCCAATGCACAAGTGCTGCTGTGTGTGTGGATACCCATGTGTGCACACATATGGTTTGTGTGCTAGCTGCATGTCTGCGGCTGGCAGGGATGTGGCTGCATGTGTTTGTGTGCATGCATGTTGCCACGGCATCCGGATGTGATAGTGTGGCTGTGGCTGTGTTGGAGTGTGCCCACTGCCAGCTTCTCAGTGTGCATGATGTGCGGGTATTGCTCTGTGCACATGTGTGCGCGTGTGTATATGCATGTGTGAATATGCATATGCATGTGCACATGTATATACCTATGTGTGTGCATGTGTGTATATACACATGCATGCGTGCATATGCCTGTGTGTGTTGTGTATGCATGCACGTGTGCATATGCACACATAGTTGTGCCTCTGCGTGCATGCGTGTTAGCACATGGCACTGCGCCCACGCATGGGGCCTTTCCACGCGCCTCGGCTGCATCCTGCGCTCACGGCGGGGCCGTGCCACGATTCCCCGCTACTGCTCGGAGCCGTTTTCACGCCGGTGGCGTCAGGCGCTGGCCCCTGGCCAGTGACGAGTCACTTTTTCCTCCCGGAGCCGGCGAGGGTTTTGCGCGGCCTCCAGCCCTTCCAGGAAAAACAAGCCAGGAGGCTGGAGCAGAGAGGCCTGGCCAGGGGGATGGGAGATGCTCGAGGCTCACAGCCACCCTGGCCTGCCCGCTGCCCTGCCCGGGGGGGGCACCCCGGTATGCACCGCCTTTGCCCCCCATGTCAGGGGCCGAGTGGCATCAGCATTGCTCCCTGCCCCTGGGATGCGCTTGAAGCATGGGACAGAAACTAGGTGGAGGTGCAGGATGCGTCCATCCCTCCCTTGCCCTTTCTCTTCCCCGGCCTCCCTTCCCATCCAGATGAGCTCACCTCCCCTCACTATCGACCGGGAGGGGGGAATTTTTTTTTTTTTAAAGCATCTTGGCTACAAACCATCCGGCTCTTCGGGGAGCTTCAAAGCAGGTTTCCAGTAAAAGCCTTGTGCCGGGAGACGGCGGTGTCTTGGCGTCGGAGGGGGCATTAGCGGCGCGGAGGGCTCCGAGTGCCGGGATGCTGAGCGGGCATCACTGGGAAGGGATCGATCGATAAGGGGGGGTTGCTAAAAGCTCGGCATTGATTTCTTCCTCTTTCTCCCGCAGAGGTGGGGCACACGCAGGGGCCGCTGGACGGGAGCCTGTACGCCAAGGTGAAGAAGAAGGACTCGCTGCACGGCAGCACCGGGGCGGTGAACGCCGCGCGGGCCCCGCTGCTGGCCGGGCCCAACCACGTGGAGCACACGCTGTCCGTCAGCAGCGACTCGGGCAACTCCACGGCCTCCGCCAAGACCGACCGCACGGATGAGCCGGCGCCCGCGGGCAACCCGGTGCTGACACCCGAGGAGAAGCAGGAGCTGGAGCGCTTGCTGAGCGGCTTCGGCGTGGACGGCCACGGCGCCATGCACAACCGCGGCCCTGCTGGGCGCCATGTGGTGCCTGCCCAGGTGCACGTCAACGGCAGGGCCGTGCCGCTGGTGGCTGAGCGGGAGACCGATATCCTGGACGACGACCTGCCCAACCAGGACGGGCACAGCGTGGGCAGCCTGGGCACGCTGTCCTCGCTGGACGGGGCCACCAACGCCAGCGAGACCGGCTACGCCGAAGGCCCGCGGATGGAGAGCTTGGCCAACGGCCCCAGCGGCTGCAACGGCGTGGACAGGGCCGCGTACGAGGCTGAGCCGATGCTCAACGGCGGGTACCCCTACAACAACTACAATGCGGGCAGGGGCGGCTTGAAGCATGCGGCGGGCCCCCTGCGCCCGTCCGTGTCGGCGCAGGACAGCCTGGCCGACTACCAGCTGCAGGCGGGCTCGCCCCTGCCCGCCTGGCTGCAGCCCCAGGCGCTGGCCGCCGGCGCCGACGCCAT